TAAATAAATCTTATGACCGAGTGAATTAGAAATATTTGAGAGCCATTATATATGTTGAAGATGGGTTTTAATGATATTCGTACTGCGAAGCCGAGCTCAGAGCTCGGCACCACAGTACAGGACGACTTTGGACACGCGCTGTGTGACGTTAGCTCGTCATCCTAATCAGATCATAACTGATCTCGGGCCCAAGGCCCAACAAAACCCTAATACACACAAAGATACGTGCATTACTTATACGAGACTCATACACCCACAAACACTAACTTTAGCATCGGAGTCTTTTTTGCAGGTACCACCCCCATCTTGGAGCAACAAGCGTACCCGTGAAGGAGGCTCACCAATCTTACTCGGCGGATCACCTCTACGGCAGATTTTCGGTAAGAACATTTGGCGCCCACCGTGGGGCCGATCAAGACAGCTCTTATCGGCCACGTTTATGGTATTCACCAGAAGCCATAGCAGACGCGCAACAGACGACGCAAATCACTCAACTACCATGGACAACGAAGCCACATCGAGGAGACTGATTGACCAGGTCGAACAGATGCGGCAGCAACACGACGCCGATCTGCGAAACATGCGTGCCCAGCACGAAACTGACCTAGCGGCAATGCGTACCGCTAATGAAGCTGACCTAGCGGCACTGCGCGCCAAGAACGAGCGGATTCGCGCTCAACTCCCTCGGCGTCACTCGGATCAACCCCCTCTACAGAGCAACCTCCACGAGGAAGAAGGGCACTCAGTCTCTCAGCCCCGAACTACGGCTAGGAAACTGACTCCACGACCTGCCGCGCACCGGTCTCATGTTCCGACGAACAAGTCGGTCCATGAAGTCAGCAAAGCCCCAACTCATGTCACAGGGGGTCAAGCAACCTTCCGCCGTCATCCCTTTGTGGATGGCATCATGGAGACACCACTCCCTCAGGGTTGGAAGCCTCTCCACCTTGATCGCTATGATGGCACGACGAACCCTGACGAGCACATCGACCTATATACGACACAAGTAAACCTCTACACTAACAATGATGCTATATTGTGTAGGGTTTTTCCGACCTCGCTCAAAAGGGGTCACGCTCAACTGGTACACCCAGCTACCTGCCGAGTCAATTGACAGCTTCGGCACCCTGGTCAGACGGTTCACAGCATAATATGCGACGAGCCGACCTCATCACATAACATCAGCTGACCTGGCCAGTCTCAGACAGAGTGACGACGAGCCACTCCGGACGTTCACGGAACGATTCGCCGCCATCTCGGTAAAGATCCAAAATTTGAATCCCGAGGTCGCACTACACTCCATGCTCATGGCATTGAAGCCAGGACCTTTCGTCGATAGCCTTTGTCGACGACCTCCTCCTGACATGGACGAGCTCCGAGCTCGTGCTGCTGGGTACATCCAATACACATACAAAATGCAATAGAACTCAAAACATCTATTCATGTTCATCATACAACATGTATCAACATATAACTTATCAAAATCAACTATCATAACATGACAACCTTCACATAAAATAATACATAGGTAGTTCTACTACTCCATTCAAACTCATATTTATCTCATATAAAATTTTAAAAAGTTATCTACAATTCTTATGAAGACTTCAATAAGTTTTAACCCCATCATCTACTATACTAAAAATCACAAAAACTACAACAATTTGCCTAAATGCTGATAGCTTGACTTTTACTCACTACAAAGGTCATAACTGAAATTCTAGACTTCCTTTTTAGGTGATTTCAAAGTCATTGGAAAGCTAACATCTAAGGCTACAACTTTCATGAAGACCACAAAGAAAATTTGACCATCTACTCACTTAAACAAGTTAATATTTTGTTTAAGCGAGGTTAGCTCCCTCATAACAACCAATAACTTGCTCTTAGTGACCAAAATTCACTCAAAGCACTTGAAAAGTTGCTCTAAATGACCTAAGTCAAAAAGCATCTCTAAGAAACCATCCAGGCTTGATTGGAGCTAACAACTTGCTCTAAGAAACCAAAATTTACTCAAAGCGTCTGAAAACTCACTCTAAGCGACCTAAAATGCATCTCTAAGAAACCACCTAGACTCGCTTGGAACAACCCCTAAATCATTGTGAGCGACCAAAATTTGCTTAAAGCACTTGAAAACTTGCTCTAAGCGACCCAAGTTCAAATAGAGCAACCCTATGGCGCTCTAAGCGACCAAACCCATAAAATATGCAAATTTGAAGTTCAAAAACATCAACCCAGCAAAACACTTTAATCATCCAAAAATCCACCCAACCCATACAATAATTCATGCATGCAACTAAATCATTCATACATATACTTTCCCAACAACTCATTTTGTCCCAAAACCACCACAAGTAACTACAAAATCTTTCAAGATCATCAAAATCATCTTACCCACCTCAAGAACAACCAAAACCCCACCAACACAACCTTCAAATACGTAATTCCTCTAATTCATACAAAAATTGATGTTCTCACTCACATACAAAACAATTAAATCAATCATTCATCACTACAAGAAAAATGCTGATTTTCGATGGAAATTTCCGACGGAAATAAGCAAATTTCTGACGGATTTCAATACAAAATGCAATAGAACTCAAAACATCTATTCATGTTCATCATACAACATGTATCAACATATAACTTATCAAAATCAACTATCATAACATGACAACCTTCACATAAAATAATACATAGGTAGTTCTACTACTCCATTCAAACTCATATTTATCTCATATAAAATTTTAAAAAGTTATCTACAATTCTTATGAAGACTTCAATAAGTTTTAACCCCATCATCTACTATACTAAAAATCACAAAAACTACAACAATTTGCCTAAATGCTGATAGCTTGACTTTTACTCACTACAAAGGTCATAACTGAAATTCTAGACTTCCTTTTTAGGTGATTTCAAAGTCATTGGAAAGCTAACATCTAAGGCTACAACTTTCATGAAGACCACAAAGAAAATTTGACCATCTACTCACTTAAACAAGTTAATATTTTGTTTAAGCGAGGTTTATTCGTACTGCGAAGCCGAGCTCCGAGCTCGGCACCACAGCGCAGGACGACCTCAGACGCGCTGTGTGACGTTAGCTCGTCATCCTAATCAGATCATAATTGATCTCGGGCCCAAGGCCCAACAAAACCCTAATACACACAAAGGTACGTGCATTACTTATACGAGACTCATACACCCACAAACACTAACTTTAGCATCGGAGTCTCTTTTGCAGGTACCACCCCCATCTTGGAGCAACAAGCGTACCCGTGAAGGAGGCTCACCAATCTTACTCGGCAGATCACCTCTACGGCAGATTTTCGGTAAGAACAAGAGGTGAATTAGCTTATATGTCATGCGTGGAATCTATTAGTGATGCAGTGAGTGTTAATTCTGAATTGGAGGGGCCAATTCAACCTGGGAGAGGTCTTAGACAAGGAGATCCACTATATCTCCTTGTCTATTTCTACTTTGTTCTGAAGGTCTGAGTGTTTTAATTCATAAAGCTGAAAGAGACGACCATATCTATGGAATATCCATTTGCAAAGGAGCTCCCAAGATCTTTTATTTGTTGTCTGCAGATGATGATTTTTTTTATTTTGCAGGGCTAATGAAAATGAAATAGAAACTCTTCATCAAATTTTCCAAGTGATGAGAAGGCATCAGGACAAGCTATAAATTTCAACAAATCTAAAGTATTTTTTAGTCCTAACACACTTGATGTTAAGAAAAATATTTTCTCTTCAAAATTGGGTATGCATTATGTGTTGGGTTCTGGAAAATACTAGGGTATGCCTTGTATGATTGAGAGGAACAGGAGGGAGACTTTCAAATTTGTCAAAGAAAGAATTTTGAAGAAGATAAATTCTATATATGAGTGGAATATTTCTTTCCAAGGCGGGAAGTGAGGTATTGATCAAGTTTGTCCTTCAATCTATTCTCACTTATGTGATGAGTGCTTATTTGATCCCAAAATCTAATTGTGAAAAGATTGAAAGGATACTCAATTCTTATTGGTGGGGTACTAAGGGGAAAGGCATTAGATAGATATCTTGGGATAAACACACTGTGAGCTTTCATTCCTTTAATTTAGCAAAGCTTGGAAAATAAGAGTGGAGGTTTTATTTAGTCGTGATGTTATGGTGTCAATTACCTTCAAAAGCTAAATAAAACTTTTAACGGGATTTTATGGATTTTGATATTGGTCATAATCCTAGTTATATTTCACGTAGTATTTGAAATTTTTGGGTTGTGTTTAAGCAAGGTTTGAGACGAAAGATTAGTGAAAATTCAAAAAATAATATGTGGAAAGAATCTTGGTGAGAGGTATGATATTTAACTATATTGATTTACTTCTACATTATGGTTTGTAACAACTTGTTAAATATTTTTTATCCAATATTCTAATGAATTTGTTAATCCTTGATCCTATGTGATTGCATACTCTTAATTGATTCTATTGTCACTAATTTGATGATATAATTATTGAATCAAATTATCAATGATAGTGAATCATATTCATAATAATAAAGAAGAAATTTTTGAGTGGAATATGATTCTTAATTAAATTATGAGATACTTTTCTCCTATTATTATTTAATATAATAGAATAAAAAAATAATTTAATATTTTATTTAATTAGAAATTATATTAATTTTAAAAATATTTATAATGAAATTTGTTGTTGTATTTATAATTTTATTTTATTGAAAAGAATTTGATTTAATATATATATATATTC